CTCTAGCTCTTATATCTTCTGAAATCGACGCGTTCATACATACGGACAGACGGACGGACGGACAGACGGACAGACAGACGGACAGGGCCAAATCGACTCAGCTCGTCGCCCTGATCAAGAATATATATACTTTGTGGGGTCTGCCACGCCTCCTGCTGCTTGTTACATACATTTCAACAAAACCATTATACCCTGATTTCCCATTGAAAATGGGTTCAGGGTATAAAAATACTACAGATGAAAGCTCTACAGTTGAAAGCTGTACAGTTCAATAACCTCGCAGTACTGAGGGAAAAAACTTGATTAGGTGGCAACTCTGCTTGCCTGTGAGAAATTGATATGTACATATATAAAGCGCCTGGATCGACACAATCTGTATATTGTCCGTATATATCTGTATATGTTTATATACCCCCTAGACCTGCTCCAGTACCACTAGAAAAAGTTAGCAAACCCAGGTGGCTACACCAGTCATGCTCAATATAGAAGCATTCAAGTTAGCAATATACAACATGAATTTATACCACAGAAGGACAGAAAGTTCAGGTGGCAATACCCTATCTGACATTCTGTTAAATATTTGACATGAGCGTCAAGCAGCTAAGAGCTAAACTATCTGTTAAGTGAGATACTTACAGACTATATTCATTGATAACCATCATGCTAAAGAGACAAGCGACCATCAGCAGCATGAAGACAACAATTCCAGCTACCGCCTTCCTGCCCCATTTGTAGAGCCCAAACAGCATGATTGGCGCAATGATGTACAGCTGCATGTCAACGCTCAGATACCAGGTGTGATCCAAGCACTGCGAAATGCACAACTGAATGTTAGTCTTCTATAGATATTATTGAAGTCTTGATCAGTTACCATATTATCAGTGGCATAGTTTTGAACGTAGAGCAGAGTCAGGAACCAATTGTCCTCGCAGCTCTCGAACGATACGAAGTTTTTGTGGATTGGACCATTGCCCAAGATGGGTAGAATTCTCATATAGAAAATTATGGCCACGGCTAAGACGGGCGTAAGACGTAGATAGCGATGCAGATACATCAATGGGACGTTCAGCTTGCCCTTCGATCTGTGAAATTGAAAGTTGAGGTTAGGTTGAAAGTTATCAAGTGAGTTAGGGAAAGTTAAATTTAGATAAGGCTAAATAGATAGGAATAGATTAAATGAGTTGAGAATGTATTGAGAGTAGATCTAGCCCAGCGTTAATGAAATTAGCGTAAGTAAATTGAGGTTAGATACAATGTAGATAAATTGAACTTAATAGAGGTTGAGTGAGATGTATTGAAGTTAGGTTTCTGATCAAATAGTTGAATTTGGTGAAGTTATAATTTAATAAAAAAAAAAATCAGGTTAAGTGAGCTAATTAGAGTAGCCTTAAGTTTCGGAATGTTAAGATCAAGTGAGATTGACATCTCATAAGTGAATTACCTTTCCATGGCACGCAGCGCAACCATAACCACCAGCATCCCGCTCAGAAAGAAGAAGGTATCCACAGAGAACAAGCCATGCACGATGAACACGCTGTATGCCGATTTATACCACTGCAGAAATTGATAAAGCCAGCGCATTGTAGTATAGATAGATTAAAAAATTCATATATACATACATATATACATATATATGTATATGTATAGTTTTCAGTGCAACCTACCGGAATGATATCGACCAGATTGATATTGGGCGCAAAAATCTGAATCACAGAACCATGGCCATAAACAACCCAAATGAGAGATAAGCAGCGTATGCCATGCAGACAATCGATGACATTTGGATTCGATTTGCTATCCACGATACGGAACAGTGAACGTGAATTTGCACGTGCCGAAAATATCTTGACCATGGTGGGTAAGTGCTCTAGGGGAGTGGAAGAGGGACGTGAAATAGCTTCCATGGGAATTGTACTGCAGCTACTCACTCTGATCCTTGCACAGAAAGTAGTCCCAGCAGGTGGCCAAGAGCATGGCCACTACGAAGACGCCAAAGAGCACGCTGAAAAGCGAAGACACCTGTGGATAAGCAACAATCGGACGTACTGCAGCAGAGTTTTGGCACTTACATGGTAAATATGGCCAGGCCATCGAGCGGCTCCTGCTCTGCAGTATCGCACTCGCCAGCCGTGATCAACTGCGGTTCCATGCTCTGATTGAGCAGCTGCTGGAGGAGCTGGCGCAGCAGCATATCTATGTGATCCACCGTGCAGGAGGCGGGCAAGCAAATAGCTGTCTTAATGCCCAACGTGCCCATTACGCCGCCCATACCGCTCCCTGCTATCTTTGCCAAACAGTATTTGCCGCGCAGACTTTGACCCGTATTTGCCATGGGATGGTTCACGCGAAGGCACTCATCATAGTTGCCCAGATCCTTCAAGTTGCCATGAAGTATGCCGGCTGGCAGCCGACCCCAAGAGTCAATCACTGAAGAGCAAGCGAGACAAGAGAGTTACAGCTCGAACTGCATTTGCTTCAATTTAACCTCACTTACTTTGCAGCGCCCAAAGCCTGCCATCCTTTAAGCCCTGGCTGAGCATAGCGATTTCCGCCATGCACTGCAAATCCTGCTGATTGGGCAACTCTGCGGCAGGCGATTGCACATCTCTGATCGTTATGTTGCCATAGTAGTCAATGAACTCAACCGCCAGGTGGCGCAGCTGCCGCAATCGCTGTTGGCCTTCAATACCCAACGACTCGCCGTTCGCCTGCCCCAAGGCAATGGCCGCGCCGCACAGCACAAGAAAGTAAAACCGGATTCGCAACATTCTCGTTGGCTACGGCTGGCGTCTTTAATCGCATGGCTATCCGCTGGACTCCCTTTTATACCAAGCTGATAAACACTGGCGATCTGCTTTAAATTATTCGTCTGAACTTAATCAATAATTGGCCATTGATTAGACCACAGCGACAGACACCGCGGTGGATCACGAATCGTTTGCTCGCCTTCGGACCGACTGCCCATTGTTTCGCCAACTCACTCTGATAACGAGCGTGTGCTCAGCCCGAGCTACAGGTGCTGTCTTAGTCAGAACAGTGGCAGTTAAGTTTTCCATGGGCTTACCCTACTTTATATATATTTCATGCAATACTCATTATACTGCAGATATAAAGTATGTCCTAGTAATTCTTAAAAGCCCGATAAAACAATATTTTTATGATGTAAACTCAATTACTAATTGGAAAGGGGATTACCATGCGGCAATAAAGCTCTATATATAGGTATTTCAGTAGGCAAGCTGATCTGATCATTCTATATGTATATTAGCTTTGCGTTTATCTAAAGGAGTTTAACAGCTTGAACTAGTTGATTTTTGCTATTGACTAACTAACTGCCCAAAGGATTAACTGTTTAGTCGTCTAAGTTAATTGATTAACTAATTGATTATAAATTTCTTAAAATGTTGATTCATTGATGATTCAAGAAAACGAAACTACAGAGCTCAAATTTGAACAAAAACTAATATTCATGACTATTTACATTTAAATGGAATAAGTTTTGGGGTTGAAGTCCGTTCGTTCACGTTCGGTCGATTAAGATCTTGATGATAAAGTCTCGTCTAGCTCTTATCTAATCCCTTGCTCAAAAATCGTTCTGGATGTGAACAAAAGTATATAAACTGTTGGTAAAAACATGTCTCATCAAATAAAAACAATAATAATATGACCTAACCTAACTAAAATCAGTCTGTTAAGCAAATTAAGTATGAGTTAGTTCAAAGTGCAGCAGCACCTTCCAGCACTCAATCTAATCGAACAACAAATTTATTAGTTCCAATGAAAGCTGAAACTGTAAAGGAATAGCAATATTTCCAACTAATCCGTAAATAATATATTACTATTGGATGGTGAGTCACATGTTGTTGTATGTCTTTGAGATATGTATGCATAAAATATAACATCACAATATAACCGATCAGTGCTTATACAATCTTATCATATCTCTCTCTCTCTCGCTCTCTCTCTCTCGCTCTCACTCTCTCTCTTATATCAGTTTCAGCGAGGCCAACATGTAAACGTCTGATTAGTTTTTGAGAATAATATAAAGCACATATCTAAATTATTAAACAGCTATAATTAAAAAAATTTTAAGATTACATGAATTATTGAGCAGTGGCTATTACCTTTAGACTTTTAAGTACACCTTCGTGTACTTTTCGTAACGATACTGATCTTATTTTATTACCTGGATACAAGGCATTAGTTTTGTATCAATTTAAAAGAAATGCTTCTTAAATTATGGCGCCAAATTTTATAGCGATTAATCGATAAAGCGATAACATGTAGAAATCGCATTATAATAAAACTGTGATAGTTTAACAATGACAGTTCAACAATTTGAAATACGCGCCAATTAATATTAATATTTGCTTTTATTTCGTAAAACACGCTAAAAATTTAGATTAACAAAGAAAATAAGTTATTCAAACAGCAAAAACTAAAATGTTAGAAAAATGTATAATAAAGCAGTTTAGGTTGTTTTTACGTCAACAAGTACAATAATAATATTGGTCGCTTGTGACGTCATCGCGGAAAGGCAGTTTTGTTTGTCCACACTCTGCAAAATGTTCACCAAGCTCATATTTAATATTAAATAAGCTCATCAAAAAAAAAAAAAAAAAAAAAAAAAAAAAAAACATTTGCTCCTCAGTTACTCGCTTTGGTGAACATTTTAATAGATTTACACAAATTACTTGCAGTGCAGCCCTGACTGGTTTGCCATTCACATGTTCGAGCACCATGCATCTCTGTATGTATGCGACTATGAAGAAGAATATGAGAGCTGACAGCTGTCAACTCGCTTTTCCTTTCTTTCCGGTCTCTGCTCCATAGAAGACGCAAAGTACGTGAAATTTATAAAACGAAATCTGCCAAATAATTGCGAATCCGCAAAAGTGTTTAATTAAATGAAAATGAATTGAAAGCGATGTTAAACGCAACGGCCGCCAATATACGTGTTGTGTGCATAACTATTGCAGATTGCCAATTATTTGACGACAAGAATAGCATAAACAACAACAACAATAATAACAGAAATTCTAATATGTTTATATTTTTTTTATCTTTTTGTTTTCGTTGTGTTCAGCATGTTCATGCCAAAGGCTCATCGTGTCGCCATTTATGAGTACCTCTTCAAGGAGGGCGTCATTGTGGCCAAAAAGGATTTCCATGCACAGAAGCATCCTGAACTGGAATCAATTCCCAACTTGCATGTGATTAAGGCTTTGCAATCACTGCATTCTCGTGGATTGGTCAAGGAACAGTTCGCCTGGAGGCATTACTATTGGTATCTGACCAATGAGGGCATTGAGGAGCTGCGCACCTATCTGCACTTGCCACCCGAAATTGTGCCCTCCACACTGAAGAGGCCTACGCGCTCCGAGCCGTTGCGTCCTCGTCCCGCTGCCGGCGGACCACGCGGCCCAGCCGACGCCTCCAAAACAGGCGAGGATCGTTCCGCCTACAGACGCGCCCCTGGTGGCAGCGGCGTCGACAAGAAGGGAGACGTTGGACCCGGCGCCGGTGAGGTTGAGTTCCGCGGCGGCTTCGGACGTGGCTCGCGCAACTAAGACGGTCACTTTTTTTTCTATTCAAATAAGTTTAAAGTGGATTCCAATAACATCAAGAAATGGAAAAACAATATATATTGTGTGTATGTTTTGTATTATGAGGCAGAAACAAATTGCAGCAATGCAAAATGACAAAAATAATTATAAAGCAAACGCAAAGTGAAACTAGAAATCTGTCTACCACGTCTTTTTTTTTTTTCCTGTGCCGTTTACGCGCGCTTTTGAGCTGCGAATCGGTTCCTACTACAGTCGTCGCTCGCTAAAGGCGCTGCCCGAGGCTGTTGAATTGTTGGCTTGAACAGCGCATTACCATATATTCTGTTACCAAGAGCTATTATGCCATATGTGCATATACAGCTGTATTATTATATCCATGTGCGTTTGCAGAGCAAAGGCCAGTTGGCGGAAAATATTATATGCGTACATATATATGTACATATATCCATATGTGGAAAACAGCTATGCACTATACTTTGAAATATATATTTGTGAAGATAATATGAAATCTATAGTTATGGAAAGTAAAAGACAAGCTTTTCGAGGTATCGTCCACATTACGAGACTATGACTTTTGACTAGGCCTAATATCAGAGAAAGCAATAGTCACCAATATACAGTTAGTTACAGTTAATGGAAATATCCGTGTAGAAGCAACGTTTCCTAAATCGGGGCGTTATGGAAGGCACAGTTAGAGCTCACTAAAGTATCAGCTTACCAACTACGAAAGAACTATGAAATAGGCAAGAGTACATCGAGTACTTAGGACTAGTTGCTTACAGCTAATATGACTTAAATGAATGGTTAAAGCCTGCAGTAAAGCCTTACTTGAGCTGACATAGTCGAGGAGATAGAGATCTGGAAGCAAGCAAGTGTAAGAAATGTGAAGGAGTAACAAAATCCTAGTATTAGTTGCTTAAAGCAAATATGATTACATCAAAGATGCTTAAATGAATGCCGAAAGCATACAGTGAAACTTGCTTTGAGCGGCTGTATCGAGTAAGAAAAGAGATCTGGAAGTAACCATACAGTAAAGCTTGCATTGAGTAAGCAAAGAGATCTGGAAGTTATCATATGATATTTCCTCACCTTCACGCGGAAGTCTCTTTAGAAGAATTCATTTGTCATCAACCTTAGGAGATTGAGATCTTAGTCATTATTCATTTCTAATACCATTAGAAAAAGATCTATGCTACGGTAACTACGTATGCTAACAACCTTTAAAACAGACCTATATGAATTCACTATATAGTATTCACTATATAGTATCTATAGAACAAGTAAACTTTACCAAAAGTCAATCAAACTGTCTTTAGTATAGAGAAATAGTCTTTAGAAAGAGAAGAATAATTCTTTGTTTATTTGAATGGAATTTTTTATTCATCTATAAAATTCGCTTTCTTTGAACTGTATTCCATAACAGGGAAAGACTATCTACACTTTATTCTCGTATCTCCGATTTAGTTGCATTTCTTTTCTATATGCCTTAGCTTTCATTTCAGCTTTGAATGAGACAATAGGAACGTCTTGATGTCTACTGACAGCCAATTACTTAATGGTCATTGGAATGGAGCTCGAAAACCAACCGAAATACTTGTAAGATGAGCCGAGGGAAAAAGCTGAATACGCACAAGATCAGCTGGTTCATCCAGATAAGAATGTAAAATGGAATTCGCTATAGGAATTATCTAAATGCATTTTACAGTTTGCATTAGAGATTATTATGGCTGATAGAGGCAACGCATGTGAGACCTTTCACTATGAGCAATACAACGTTGGATTCATCCAAAGACTACTTCATTTGCCACAAAAACCAAATACATATTCGAACATGTTTCGTAATTTACAATAAAAACTAATTATATATATTTCATTTATATACAAAATGTTTTCAATCGTTTGTTGTTTCATGTTTGTTGTTAAATGTACACTTAAAATTGTATTATTATTTAATTGGGTTTTCTCTTCTTGCGCTATCGACGCTTTATGACGATTTTCCCCTTGGCCAGATGCGACATGTTGATCTTGAATTTGCTCTCATTCGATCGCTTCACCCAGATCTAAAAGGAAGAGAAAGAGAAGGAGAGATTAACATATGGATGTGTGAAGGATGTACGATATTCTGCTATAAGATGTTCTATACGAAGTTGGGCTTTGAGTATATATATGCAGATTATATATAGACACATAGAAGCTTTATATACAGATCGCTGTATACATCATATATTATGAGCTGAGCTGAATGAGCTTTGGTTATTAGGTATTCATAGATTCATAGAGTCTATATGATAACAGATAATCAATTTTGTTGTACGCACCACTTCATTGCTAATGGCCGTGATGGTGGCTGCAAACTTGTTCGTATCCTTGCCCTCTACGTAGATCTGTTGGCCGCGACAGAACCAGCGACGTTCGTAGAGCAACTTGTTGTCTTCGATGCGCGTCTCCACATAGCTGTTCGCATCCGAAAGCAGGCCGTGCGACGATTGCTGCTGTTGTTGGTGCTGCTGCTGCTGTTGATGTTGTTGCTGTTGTTGCTGCTGCTGCTGGGTGTTTGTGTAGGAGCCCATGCCGTTCTGCTGCAGCGGCATCGGTTTGCCACGCTGTATCATCTTCAAATCAGACTCAATTTCCTTATCGTCCAGTTGATAGACCAACAGTTGACCCGTCGCCGTTTTACGACGCTTCTCAATCACCGGCAGCGGTTCATTGGGCCGCCGTCGCAGCTTGCGTGTGACTGTTGTCTTAATTTCCATTGAATCATTGGTTAGCTCCAAGCTATATCTCTCATTCTCAATCTGGCGCTTGCGATCCTCAAAGTCAGCTATTAGATTATCCTTGAGGTCCTTCATTTTCGCATTGTATTCCTCCAGCGCTGCATTCTTTTCTAGTACATAATCACGATCAACGCACTCACGCATGTACTCCTTGTAGATCTCATTGAGACGTCGGCGTTCCTTTAGCTGATTATCCAACTTACGCAAACGTTTTAAGTACTCGGGATGTATATGTTGATTTAGGTCGTCCAGTTGCTTGTGCAGATTGATCAGCTTATGTTGATAAATTCTGTAAAAGAAGGAGACGTTAATCAGGATTTCAATGTGCAAGCTTAGACAGTACAATCTGGAATCTTGCAAACATCACTAACTGCTGCATACACAAATAATCTGTAGATGCAATTAAATGACAAATAATTAAAATCTTCATCTACTAAAAATCATCTGTTTTATATATAAGTAATTCACGTACTGTTCCTTCAGCTCGCTATTGCTGCCAATGTTGTTGTTGCTGTTCATGAAGTTATTGTTGTTGTTGCTGCTATTGTTGTTGTTGTTGGTACTGCCATTGTTACTGTTGTTGTTGTTGTTGGAGGACGAATTGCCATTGGTGCCGCCATAGCGATGAGGACTGCGAAATTCTGTTTCGCTTGCATCGTCCGTATCTGGAATTGTGAAGCGTTTCATGATTAACTGTCAACTGCGTTCGTTTTGCATTTGCTTTACGTTTTTTATGCATTTTCTCGCCACTATTAGTTTTGCTTACCTTCTTCGCTGCGTTCATCGCCAATCGACTCGTCGTCGTAATTGTCGCCCGAGTATAGCGTATAGTAGGCATTCATTGTGAAAAACGTTACTTTAGCTAATAGCTAATTAGATGCTTTTATTTGCTTAATGGTTTTATTCAATTTACTACAATTGTTTATATTTCGTCTCGCTTTTAACTTGCAGACACATACACACACGACGTTGGCAAACTACGAGTGCTGTATAATTCACGAGTTTTGCTGCATTGGCAACTCTATTATGCCTTAATCGATATTTGCATGTTTTGCAGCACTAATACTTTGATTCTCGTGATGCCGCGTGTTTCTAAGGCTTGGCGCTAAATTTGAAATTTGTTTAAGATAACCTAGAAAATAAATTGAATACAATATGCAAAAATAGAAAAAAAGGAATGAAATTAAATAAAAATGAAGAATTTCAGGCCATTTGAGATACGTTCGCTCATAAAAATGTAAACAAAAATGTATTTTCAAGAACATTCTGCCTAACATATTAAATTGTATGATTCATATTTGTATCTATATTATCATGAATGGATATACTATGTATTATCATAGTGGTTTGATGTGGGCTATGCTACCCACGTTTTATAAACCGCCCACAATTTTATGCATATATAGTTTTATGTTTCTACTATATCAAAAAAGTTCTCAAAGAATGTTTCGAAGTTTATGACAACGCATAAATATGCCAACAACAACAACCAACATATATATATATATGCAAACATA